GGAGAAGAATGGGAATGTTTTTTATCATGCGGATGGCCTCTTCTTTAGGAGGGGAGGAATGGAGAGCACCCACCTGACAGGTGACCTTACTGGTCCTTGAGAAAGGGTGTCTAAGCTGCTGCTCCAACTTGATCAGTAACCAAGGGAACGCAATAAATTCCTAACCAAGGCCTTCCAGTGGGGCTAGTCAATATACCTTCCAACAGTTGCAATTAAACAAATAAATGATTATAGAAGGTAGTGTCTGTTCTTTCTACATCCTGAGAAAATTATAAACATAATTGCCTCTGGATCCTTTCTCAAGACATCCAACTCCAGGTGTTTGAGGACCCTACCTTATCTGTATATTCTCTCCACTTGATGTAAAGCTGTTAATCTTTGAATGTATGTAACTAGAACTGGGGATACATAGCTATTTTTCTGTGTCCTCTTGCCTACATAAACATCCTCTCACTTTATTCTAAAGCTTGAGCACTGTTTCAAGGCTTCTTGGAGCTCTGCTCTCAGGCAATGTCCTCAGATGGCTCCAAATAAATCTTTTTTCTTAAATCTACAATGGTTCAAGTTTTCTTTTCCTTGACATGCCTGATCAGAAAATTCCAGACTGGCTGATTACATTACATTTCTGGGAGACGATGAAACTGTAATTAAATCAGGCATGAAATCTAGGGGGCAGGCGAAAACAGGAAGGGAAGGGGTATCAGGGGAAGGAAGTGAAGCTGGAAACCCCTGGAAAATGTGCAGAAAGCTTCTAATTCTTAGATATATCCTCAGGAGGGTGATGAACACCAGGTTGAGAAGAAAACAGGAAATGGGGACGGAAAGGAAGCCGCTGTCCTAGGCCTTGGACCGGGTACTTGGGCCCAGTCAGAGCAGGACTGTGTCTTCAGTGGTTTCTGGAGTAAAAATTATGTCATTGGAGCAGCACTGCCCAGTATGATCGCTATTAGCTACTTGTGGCTCTTAAGCACTTGAAATGTGGCTAGTCTGAGTAAGTGTAGCGTTCAGATAAGATTTTAAAGACTTAAGCTTTTTTTTTTTTCTTGTGGCAAAATGATATGTTGGACATACTGGGTTAAATAAAATACTGCGAAAGTAACCTTATCTTTTCTTTCTATTGTCTTAACATGGATACTGGAATGTTTAAAATGACATCCAGGGCTGGCCTTATATTTCTCTAGGACGGCGCTTCACTGAAGGGTCTTAATCGTGAGCGGTGGGGCAAGACAGGATCAAACGCGGGTCTTGAAAAGAAAAAAAAAAATAGCACTGCAGCGTGGACAACTGATTGGAGGGAGTCAGAAGAGTGGCAAAGCTCGAGATCTCGCGAGACCAAAGACTCACGGGAGTCCAAGACCCAAAGCGTTGTTAACGCGCATGTGTCCGGCGGTGGCTGCCGGGAAGCGCTGACAACAGGAAGTAAACATTGACGGGTTGGCTTTGTTTCTGTGCAGGGGATTTGGGGTCGGCTGCGACCGGACTGGGTGAGGAGTTCCTTTGAGAACATAGGTGGGAAGGGCGGGCTGGCGGGCGCCGTGACGGGGGCGGGGGCGGGGGGGTCGCAGTAGAAGGGGAGGCAGGTGAAGCTAGAGAACCCCGGAAAGTGGGCCGAAAGCTTCTGGTTCTTAAGTTACGTCCTCACGGGGGTGATGAACACCAGGCTGAGGAAGGAACAGGGAACGTGGACCGGGAAGGCAGCCGCCGTCCTAAGCCTCGGACGTGGTGCTTTGGGCCCATCAGGCCAGGATTGTGTCTTCAGTGGGTTTTAGGGAAATCTGTAAGATGCCAGTGGAGCAGCATGATCGCTGTTCGCTGCTTGTGGCTCTTAAGCGCTTGAAATGTGGCTAGTCTGAGTAAATGTAATATCCAAATCAGATTTTAAAGACGTAGTTTATTTTTTTTCTCGTGGCAAAGTCACATGTTGGACATAACTGGGTTAAATAAAATATTGTAAGAAGTAACCTTACCTGTTTTCTTTCTATTGTCTTACTATGGCTACTGGAATATTTAAAATGACATCTAGTGCTGGCATTCGATTTAGTAAGTAGGAAAAAGTAGTAACAGTCAGGTGGTAGGATTGAGAACAGAGAGAAGTAGATGAATTTGAATGATATCCAGAGGGTGAAAATAACAATTCTTAATGATGAAATGGGGACTACCTGGAACACTTAAGTAAAGGGGTGGATGGTGATATTATTCATTAAGAGAGGAAACTATGGAAGGAGATTAGATTTCATAGAGAAGATCATGAGTTTGAATTAAGATTTGTTGTGTTTAGGCGTGTCTGAGACCTCTTAAGTGGAGATGCTCTGAAGTAAACAATTGCAATGTGTGTATCTGAAGCTCATAGAAAAGATCTAGAGCAGAAAAATAAATTGGAGCGTCAACAGTAGTGTATTGTGGCTACTGAAGCCTTTGAAATAGATGAGTTTGTCCACCAGTGGAGTTCAGAGTGATGAAAGAGGCTCTGAGACTGAGCCTTGCAGAATCCAAAATTAAATAGCTAGGCAGAGATGGATACATCTGCAAAGGAGACAGGAGAAGCAGCGAGAGGGGTACAAGAAAAGCCAGAAGCGTAGAGTGTCCCATAAGCCAAGGGATAAGAATATATAGATCAAAGAGAAAGAACAGAACTGAAAAAAGTTCAATGTATGTAGCACATTGATCACTTGTATACTTAGTGGCAACTATTCAGAGTGGTGAGAAGTGGAAGCTTAATTAGAAGAAGGGGGAAATAGAAGATGAGGAAATAGAGGCAATTAATATATATAACTCTTAAGGCATTCATTCTATAAGAGATTGGACTCTATTCATTAAGGGTTAGTATGGTGGAAAAGTTTGACCCATACATAGTATGAGAGGAATTTAGGAATGTATATGCGAGAAGGTCTTATGAAATGTTAAATATATGTGTGTTTGTCCTCCATTTGTAAATTAGAGTTGAAGGAGTAGCTACAGCAGTAGAGACTTGTTCAGGGGAAAGAGAACCTTCCCTTACAGATACTATGAAAGAATAAGAACATATGAAATATTATTTATAACCCACCGTATGTGTTACTAGGATGTACTTTTGATAGTTTCACTGATGAACTCATGAAGGCCTAGTTTATACTAATAAAGATTCCTTTCTTGTCATAGAGATAACCATGTCGGCTGCAGCAGTGGATGCAGTTAATACTGCCCCCCTGTCGGGGTCCAAAGAATTGAGTTTGGAGGAACCAAAGAAGATGACCAGGGAGGACTGGAGAAAGAAGAAGGAGCTAGAAGAACAGCGAAAATTGGGTAATGCTCCTGCAGAAGTTGATGAAGAAGGAAAGTAAGTAATTTTTTTGCATGATCTGTTCATTTAGAATTCAAATTCACGGCCTACTTAGTTTCTATCAATTCCTCATCCTTTGACAGGAAGCTACCGTTTGTATCATGTTTGTTTTTATTATTTATTCGTTATCAAATGCGTGTGAGGTTTATTAATCAAATAATACTGAAGAGATTATAATCAATAGCTATAATCCCTTTCCACCCTTCCCACTCCCTTTCCCACTCTACAAAGTGACTACTTTTAAATCTTTCTATTTTTGAGTTTTTTCTGGCTGATACCTCCACATCTCTAAATAATATACCTAAACCATTATTTTAATCAACTCTAAGACAGTATTAGTTTACCTCTTGTTCTGATACAAGGTTTATCTCACCAACATACATCCCTGTATTTTTTTATCTCTCCTCCCCCTTCAGTTATATCACTATTCTTAGTTTGTTGGAAACTTTTCACTCTAATTTAAATATCTTTATCTTTAATTGTTTTTTATTATAGCGATATCAAGCATATCCTCTCCCCCTACCCCACTGCAATATCTCTATTCTTAGATTCTGTATAAGCTACCTTTAGTAATTATTAAATCATTTATTTTCAAACTCTATTCTTTAAAAAATTTTTTCTATTTTATTACAGAGACATCAACCCTCATATTCCTCAGTATATTTCTTCAGTGCCATGGTATATTGATCCGTCAAAAAGACCTACTTTAAAGCACCAGAGACCACAACCAGAAAAACAAAGGCAGTACAGCTCCTCCGTAGAATGGTACAACAGGGGTGTCAAAGAGGTATGTAAGCAACCTGTATATATGTCTATGTGGAAATGGAGATTTTATTTTAAGAACTTAATAGGGGCTGGCCGAGTGGCTCAGTTGGTTAAGAGCTCGCTCAAGAGTGCGAGCTCTGAGGAGCAGTGGTTCAATTCCCAGTCTGAGCTGAGCAGCTGCTGAGCTGCCAACAGGTGGCAGGATGGCTCAGCTTAAAATAAAAAAAAAAGAACTTAATATAAGAACCTTTAATACCATACTGTATAAAGTAGAAACAGATTACATGAACTTTTATCTGGTATTAAAATTCACAATGCATATTAACATTAGCTCCTGCATTTTATTTTGTACATTTTATTTTGCCGAAGTCCTTAAACTTTCTCATTTATAAAACTAGAGAGACTCTTAACTGGCTATCCTCTTAATGAATACATCATTTCACTAGACAATATAATGATGAGAGCCAATATTGTTTTTAACATATTCAGATAAATAAAACATTTTCTTTATTTTTCTTTATATCCATTTATAGAATGCCATAACTACTAAGTACCGCAAAGGAGCATGTGAAAATTGTGGGGCCTTGACACACAAAAAGAAAGACTGCTTTGAGGTAAATTCACCTTTGAGAATTTTGGAAACTGTTGTCAGAGAGTCTTTTCTGTTTTCATTTTTTGTCAGACAGCTTAATTCTATTTTTCTAAAATTATCTATATTTAGGTCTAAGTTAAATAAAAATTTGAGTGAAAATTAGTTTGGCATCATCAAATTTTTCTGCTGGAACACTAACTGATAATTTTATTGAATAGACAATAAAGTCCCATGGTATTTCCGTCCACACCTGCTCTGTAAAGGTTATATGAAATTTTCCACTGGGCTACAGCTACTTAGGAAAAAATTTAATCGTACTCTGTTTTCTAGAGACCCAGACGAGTTGGAGCAAAATTTACAGGAACTAATATAGCTCCAGACGAACATATCCAGCCTCAGCTGACGTTTGACTATGATGGGAAGAGGGACCGGTGGAATGGCTACAATCCAGAGGAACACATGAAAATTGTAGAAGAATATGCCAAAGTTGATCTGGTGAGCAAAATTTCCTGCTTTCCTACTATCCTTAAAGAATGTACATTTTGCTAGCTGTCTAATGTAGCAACTCTATTTTCTGAGTGTTCAAGCAGTTTAAAAATGGTGGCATGTTTATCGTAGTAGCAGTAGTAATCCTAATTGAATAGTGAAAATAAACTGTGTGCTGGCTCTATTTGGCAGCATTTTTTTTTTTAAAGATGTTATTGGGGAATTGGGGAAGGGGAACAGTGTTAGGGAATTGGGGAAGGGGAACAGACAATTTGTTGCCTTTCAATCTTAATTGTGGAGGGCGCAGCTAGCTCAGCTCCAAGTCAGCCGCCATCTGGCCGCCCATCAGCAGCTCGCGGCCACTCAGCTCAAGGTACCATGTTCAATCTTAGTTGCAGGTGGCCCATGTGGGAATCAAACCAGCAACCCTGTTGCTCAGAGCTCACGCTTTTAACCAACTGAGCCACTTGGCCAGCCCTGGCAGCATTTTTTGAAATTGATTCTTATATTGTCCTTTACTCTCCCACTCAGGTTGCAAAAAATACTGGAAGCATGAAAAACAATTCGTGTCCAAACCTCTGGCTTTCTGAAGTTATGAACTTTGTTCCCAGACTGTATCTTGCCCATGGTCCTATTTTACAGTTGTCTCAGAGCATTTCAGGGTAGTAGAAGGGGACAAGGATAACTTGTTTCAGAAAAATGGAATGTTATCTTAATTCTACCTCAACTTTTTTCTGTTATGATTTTACCTACTCCATTCCTTAAAAACTACAGTCACACTTATGCTGCCTTTTTTTTTTTTTTTTTTGTAAAGGGGAGTTAACATTTAAAAATCATTGGATTTTACATGATCTGATTTTCATCTTTTCTTGAACAGTGAAATAAATTGTAATCCTGGGCCTGCTTGGCAAGAGTCATCATCTGGAGTCAGGTGGCAACTGCCCCTCTTGCATAGGACTTGCTCTCTGCAATTTTTCACCCGTGCTGGCTGGCTCATTTTCCAGTAATGCCAGGTTCAAAAAGGAGTTTGTAACTCCTTTTTTTTTTTAGAGATCCATAGGTCTAGAGCTATAGGAAATCTCAAAGAGATGACCTTGTCCGGTGGCCTTTTCTGAAAACAATAAACTTGGTCATTATACATGTACTACAATAATTAAATGTTTATTTAAATGTTGTAAGTAAATCTCAAATGTTTGGTTTTTTTTTTGTTAGGCAAAACGAACACTGAAAGCCCAGAAACTCCAAGAAGAATTAGCCTCAGGAAAATTAGTGGAACAGGCTGTAAGTAATAGAATGATCAATTTTAAAATTTCAAATCTTAGTATAACAAAAAATGAAAACTGAAACAAGAATTAATTTGTATATGTTCTGTTAGAAAAGATTTTAGGAAGGGAGAAGTGCTATTGATGGGGGAGAGTAAAACTGATACTTTTAAACCATTCAAGGGAATATAAGTTGATGCAATCATTTTGGAAAGCATTTTACCATAAAATATTTATATACCTTTTCTGGGATTAAATTAGTAGGTCCATTCATCGTGAAGAATTTTCTGGTATTCAGAAAAATTATGCGCAAAAATATTTATTGTAGCACTTTTTTTCAGTAGCAGGAAATTGAAATAACTTAAGTGTCTAGGAATACAGAATTGGTGAAGTAAGCGATCCTGTATGTATGTGAAAGAATGTTGCACAGGTCTTAAAAGGCTTTTATCAAGACTTTGTAATAGCACTGGCTCACACTTAATATTTTAATGACACATGAAAAAAAAAATAATATTTTCCTAATACATAAGAAAAAAGACCAGTTCTCATTTAATGTAAAATTAGTGAATTGTTTCATGTGTTTTGTTTTGTTTTGTTTTTGGGGGTTTTTCTTTTATAAGATTTTATTGGGGAATTGGGGGAGGGGAACAGACAAGTTGCTGTCCTTTTGTTCTTCACTCTTGTTGGAGGACATCACTTCACTGTCCCATGTTGGTACTACCATTGAGCTCTTCACTGGTGAGGCAGTTGCTCGCCAGCCATTGGATGGCCGCTCACGGCAGCTCACGCCAGCTGCTGGTCACTCACGCTGGCTGCTGACCACTCACGGTAGCTTATGGCAGTCCACTGCAGCAGGGGCTGCAGCCTACGCCGTCGCCAGCGACTCACAGCAGCCCAGCTCCAGGTCGAGCTGTTGTTCACCATCTTAGCTGTAGAGGGCGCAGCATCACTTGCCTTCATGTGGGATCCAAACCGGGGCCCTGCTGCTCAGAGCTGGCAGCCCAAACCAACTCAACCAACACGCCACCCGACCGCCCTTGTATTTTTTTATTTTTTTATTTTTTTATTTTTTAGCTGAGCCATCCTGCTACCTGTTGGCAGCTCAGCGGCTGCTCAGCTCGGGCCGGGACTCGAACCGCTATTGTTCAGAGCTCAAACTCTTGAGCAAGCTCTTAACCAACTGAGCCACTCAGCCGGCTTTTGCCCTTGTATTTTTTATAATGAACATGTAATCATTTTCATAGCTTGGCCAAAAAAAATTCATAGTAAAAAAAAAAAGGATGTATTTCAACAATTTTTTTTCTTCTTTTATTCATGTCAACTTAATAGTTATTATATATTGTGTTTATTAGAGTTGCGAAAGTTTCTTTTTAACAAATTCATGACAGAAATAAATAGCATACATTTGGAGTTTAAATTCCTAAAAGGGACTTTTAGCAAGTGTGAATTACAAACCAACAGAGCTAAATAAGTACTAATCACCAAGTAAACAGCTACTGAGGCCACCTATCAGGCAGGTTCACAACACAAGTTAACAGATAGATGTTAAAATTCAGCTCTGCCCCTGGCTAGCTTAGGTGGTCCTAGAAAAATTAATTTGCCTCTCTGAGCCTCAGTTTAGCATCCCTAAGGTAGACATAAGAACGCCTACCTTGCAGGAGGCTTAGCATCAATATCATATAGTAAACACTCGGTAGCTATTGTTGTAATTATTATTATTACCAACTTTGCAAAAAAAAAAAACAGGGCCTGTTTCTTTTGATCTAACAGAGTCTCTGTTTTTTATAAAGATAGTATAACTTATTTCCCTAGTAAGCATCCTTAAATGTATGTAAAAGACTGATGATTTTTGCCTGCTTGGATACTTGGATATTAAGATTAACTACATATCATAGAGCAGTCTCTACTATAGAGATTTAGCTGTCTGTATAGCTATATAAATATCCTTTGTTGAACTATTGATAGCAACTTGTGGGAACTCCAAGAAAAAAATCTTCTGAAATGTATTTCTAATTTTGAAAATAACACATATTCACTGGAAAACAATTTAGAAAATTATAAAGAAAATAAATATCTATATTAGCTATTAACATTTTGAAGTAGGCCTTTCCAGGTCCCATATCACCCTCCCCACACATATATTTATAATATATATGTGTGTAATTACACTAACTACATGTTTATCAACTACTCTTTCAATTACACAATATGTAGTGCAGTGATGACTTGTTATATGTGTCATTAAATATAAACCTATTTCTTTTGTATATAAATTCACATGGTTTAGAGCTCAAAACAATTTAAGAAGATATGCAGCAAGAAGTTTCTCATCCCTGCCTCTATCAACTCTGTGTCGTCTCTAAACCATAACCCCCATAATCTTTTGTATTTTTCTCATCGATCCTTTCAGTTTCTTATGTTTTAATACAAACAGAAATATATAATGTTATTCCCACCTTTACCTCCCGTTTTTGTTTTTTTTAACCAAAAGTAGCAAATTATATCTATTTTTTTGCATCTTGAGTAGAATTCCTTGTAATGGTTGTTTAGTGTTCATTGAGTGCAGTAATTTATATAACCCATTTTCCCCAACTTTTTAATATTGTATACAATACTATAAATTACATTCTTATTCACCTTTATATAATTGAAATATTATTTCCTTATGATAAATTCCTAAAAGTATAATTGTGGATACAGTGATTATATTTATTTAAAATTTTGATGACCTTTCACTTAGCTACCATTCAGAAAGGCTATACAAATTTATGCTCCCATCAATATACTACATATATATATTCACATGCACACCTTTCCATATCCCCCCACTGATGCTATAAGGTATCCTTTTTAACCTTTGAAGCCTTTTTAATGGACATGATGAAATACGGACTACTTTGCTATAGGTGTTTTGTGGAGTTAGAGAAAATCCTGACCAGTTGCTAATGAAAGTGTGTCTGTCTGACAAGGATTTCAGACTCGCTTTAAATCACAATATAGTGTCACTTGAATAGATTTCTTTATGGCCTAAATTTTATGGAGGGTATTTTGGCTCTAAAGGTCCTTATTACATGATCCTGGTAACGTTTTCTTTTTAGACTTGATAGAAAACTAGTGAGGTTTAATGAAAATGGTATGTGTAACATTAACATATATGAAATGAATATTTATTGGGTACATTGGTCATTTTAAACTTTCTGTTACCTTGATGTGATTATAGTCCTATATCTGAAAATTCTCTAGAAATTTTCTGTCTTCTAATAAAATTAACTATTCAACAATTACATACTTGTATTCAGAACTTATTCACTTAGATTTGTTACATTATCTTAACTATGTTTTTAAAGTGTTGAATAATCAGTAGATTTAGTAGAATAAAATAACTTTTTTTTTTTCTTCTGTCATGATGCAGAATTCTCCAAAACACCAGTGGGGAGAAGAGGAACCAAATTCTCAAATGGTAATAAATATTGGCTCTATCTGGGTATACATTAAAATGTCCAACTTCTGATGGCTAATATAATAATAAAATTATTACTAATTATTAAAATAATAATAAGTGCTTTAAATAATACAAGGGAATAAGGGTATGATTAAAAGGGAATCAAAGGTATCGATTGTACATCTATCTCTTCATATCACACATATAAATGCTTTTAAACCATAATCTGATGTAGAAATAACCTTGTTAAATAAACCAAGATGATTTATTAAAAAAAAAAAAAAGGGAATCAAATGAAAACAAAAACTAGATGCTGTTTTTTTGTTGTTGTTTTTTTTAAAGATTTTTATTGGGGAATTGGGGGAAGGGGAACAGACAAGTTGCTGTCTTTTTGTTCTTCAGTCTAGTTGTGGAGGACATTGCTTCACTGGCCCAAGTTGGCACCATCATTACGCTCTTCCTGGGCGAGGCAGATCAGTCAACGGCTTCTGGACAGCCGCTCATGGCGGCTGCTGGCTACATACGGTAGCCCATGGCAACCCACTGCAGCAGGGGCTGCAGCCTATGCCGTCACCGGCGACTCATAGCAGCCCAGCTCCAGGTTGAGCTGTTGTTCAGCATCTTAGCTGTAGAGGGCAGTGTCACTGGCCCTCATATGTGGGATCTGAACCAGGGCCCTCTGGCGTCCCAAGCCAGCTCTTAACCATTGCGCCACTCAGCCGGCCCTAGATGCTGTTTTTTTTCCTTACTCTTCTTTTCCCCCTTCCTCTTTCAGGAAAAAGATCACAATAGTGAAGATGAGGATGAAGATAAGTATGCAGATGATATTGACATGCCTGGACAGAACTTTGACTCTAAGAGACGGATTACTGTTCGGAATCTCAGGATTCGAGAAGATATTGCAAAAGTAAGCCTGGCCAACTGCATATACACATTCAAAATATATTTGTTTTCCCAGCCTAAATTTCACCTATTTGTCTAGCATATGGGCAGTATATGGGTAACATAGTCATTCCAAAATTAGGTATCATTCTGGTTTTTTCTCTCTATCTGCATTCCAGAATGCATTCACACATTAAATTGATTATGATCATCTCCTAGCCTGCTGAAACATTTTTACATGGAAGTAAACATTAATACAGTCCTTAAACATTTTTCTGTTCTAGTATTTGCGGAATTTAGATCCAAATTCTGCTTACTATGATCCCAAAACAAGAGCGATGAGAGAAAACCCCTATGCCAATGCAGGAAAGAATCCAGATGAGTAAGTTTTGAGTAAATGTACAGATTTCAAGATTGGCGGGGGAAGGGAGGGCATTTAATTGTAAAACTGAATCTGAATTAAAATAAACATCATCTATGATTGGGTCAGAAAAGAATTAACTTTCCTTAAAAAAAAAAATCAACCTCTGAAACAGTTGTTTTTTCAATTTGTATTTACAGAGTGAGCTATGCGGGAGATAACTTTGTTAGATACACAGGTGATACCATTTCAATGGCTCAGACGCAGTGTAAGTGTTTGCTGTATTTCAAGGCATTTTATATCAGCTCATAAGAAAATCGGGGGCATTTTTTTAAACACTAGAGCAGTAAGTGTAGCTGAGTGCTCATAAAGATGTTTCTCATTGCCTTAGTGTTTGCGTGGGAAGCCTACGACAAGGGCTCCGAAGTACATCTGCAGGCTGATCCTACAAAACTAGAGCTATTGTATAAGTCCTTCAAAGTCAAAAAGGAAGACTTCAAGGAACAGCAGAAAGAAAGCATCCTGGAAAAGGTAATTTTGACCAAAATGCTAATGAAGAACGGGTACAGTTGAAATACAACATACAGAGAATCCCCTTTAATCCCTCAGGAATAGTCCTTTCTTTTCATTGACTTAATCCGTCGGCAAACAATATGAATATAGCTGTATTCCTAAGCTTTTGCAGCAAACCAAACCACTCAGAACTTAGTAACTTACACATTTGTGTTTTCTCATGATTCTGTTTGTCATGTGGATCTCCTGATTTGGGCTTGTTCACCTGAGGCTAGAGGATCCAGGATGGCCTCAACCTGGTCCAGCAGTTAGTAGGCTAAGTGTCCTAAGAGGGCCTCCTCTGGAACAGCTCATCGCTGCCCGTCCTGCGCTCTCATCCTCTAGGAGGCTCACCCCGCTTCTTTCCATGATACTCTTGGGATACCAGAAACTAGTAACAAAAGCATGCCCCAGGATGCAAGTGCTTTCCGGGCCTTTGCTGGGGTCACATTTGCCAGTTTCCAAGTACATGTTCACAAGTAACATGGCCAAGCCCGGATTCAAGCAATGGAAACGCAGACTCTCTCTCAAGGGGAGGAGCAGCACAGTCACGTGGCAAACGGGCACATGTACAAGGATAAGAGGAATGTATGGCCGTTTTGTAATCTACCACACTCAACAGATTAGTGGCAACTGAGACATCTTTTATTTGGTGGCATTTTTTTTTTCACTGTTTTATATAACAAGTCCCGTAAAGAATATTCCTTTACTCTTTCTGATTGGAAATAAACCCTTCAGTAGCGGTTTGAAGGCACATCTTTGTTGTAAAATGGATTTAATAACTTTCGCTGTCCTTTTAGTATGGGGGCCAGGAACACTTGGATGCCCCTCCAGCTGAACTGCTTTTAGCTCAGACGGAAGACTATGTGGAGTACTCCAGACATGGGACTGTCATTAAAGGGCAGGAGCGGGCTGTCGCCTGCTCCAAGTATGAGGAAGACGTGAAGATCCACAACCACACGGTATGTGCTGAACCAGAGCCGTTTGGTGTTCTGGTCAGCATTTTGCTCTGTATTTTATTTTTAGGTTACAACTTCATTACTGAATCATGGCTGTGCTTTTCTTTTTCCTTACATTTTAAGTTTGTTATATGAAATGTTTCCAAAAATAGAAAAAATGTGAAAGAATACTGTTATGTTCACCCATATATCCAACACCTAGATTCAGAAATTTTTTACATGTTGCCATATATGTTTTGTCTAGGTGTGTGCATGTATGCATGCTGAAATACATATTTGTGTGTATACATTTTACTTTTTTTTTTATTGAAACATTTGGAAATTACAGATACCATATTTCACCAGTAAACACTATATCATGTATCTCCTAAATGAAGGATATTCTCTTTTAAACTATACTACCATTATTGCACTTCAGAAAATTGACAGTAACTACTTAACATCATCTAATCTCTAGTCATTAATCACATTTTTGAAAATATATCGGTACCCCAAAATGCCTTTAAATAGCAATTTGGAGTTTTGTTTTTTTGTTTTTGAGCCAGAATCCAATCAAAGTTTATTTTGATTGTTATTTGGTTGTGATGTCTCTTTTTTTTAACAGATCAGGGAAGTAATCTTCTAAACTGTCTCATTCTGTAGTTGACTGGTTTCTAGTGATACCATATAACTTATTCTCCTATCCCCTGTATTTCCGATAAACAGGAATTCAGATCCAAAGGATCTAAAGGCTTAATTATTAAATGTTTTGTTAATACGTTAAATTTATTTTGACAGCAGTTCATAGGTGATGCAGAATACTTCATATTGTATCACACCATAAAGCACATAATTGTCACTTACTGTATTATTGAAGCACGCAAACTACAGTTGTCCCTCTAAGTTAGGAGTTAAAAGCATCCTACCTATAGGAGCCAGGCCAGTAATCATATATGAGTGAAGTGAACCAGGAAAATTGTACAAGCTAGAGAACACAAACCCTGTCTAATAGGGGCACTCACTGTTCAGCAACAGCCAGGTCTTGCCAAGTGGGAATGTGGGCACAGAATTTCATAGTCCTTTATTTTTCAAGAGAAGTCACATATCCTAAATTTTTTTAAACATGCTGGGAATAGAATATAAGATCACTGTAACTGTAATGCCTGCTTCTCATACTTGAGGTCGGGCCAGCCTTTCCCTGTTAGCGACTCCAACAGTCAACATAATTTTCTTCCCAAATTACCTTTAAAAGAGCTATAGTATTTTATACTCCTATCAGCAGTATATGAGAGTCCCTAGTTCAGGTTCTGTTTTAAGTAATGTCTCTCTCTCTCTCACCAGCATATCTGGGGATCTTACTGGAAAGAAGGCCGATGGGGATACAAATGCTGTCACTCTTTTGTCAAGTTTTCCTATTGTACTGGAGAAGCTGGGAAGGAGATTGCTGTAAGTAATTGTCTTCTAGCTCTTACACCTATAAAACAACCAAAGCTCTTAAATCAAGGTCTGTATGAAACATGTCTTCTCATGTTTCAAATTTTAACATTTTCTTAGGTGATTGGTAACTATAATACTCAAGTCCAGTTACATATGTTTTCCCACAGAATTCAGAGGAATGTATCGAAAATGAAGTAACTGGAGAAGAATCTGTGAAAAAACCTCAGACCCTCATGGAGGTAAGTCTATAATCATTTGTCCTGAATTTTTAAGTCCCAGAGGAAGGACTTTAAAACTTGTACTAGAGCATTGTTTTCACATTAATAATGCTGTGTTTCGATCCTCCCTGTCAGATGCACCAGGAAAAACTAAAAGAGGATAAAAAGAAAAAGAAGAAGAAGAAGAAGAAGCATCGAAAGAGCAGTTCAGAAAGTGATGATGAAGAAAAGAAACATGAAAAACTGAAAAAGGTACTTTGTGAAGTCTGAATAGTGAAAGTGACAACAGTATTCTTTATTGGTTGAGAACCTTAGGAAATTATCTAGTCCTTGCCCCAAGCTCGTTTTAAAAATGAGGAAATGAGTTCTCATTCTGGGTCATTTACTCAGGTCACCTTGTATCGCATCTAGAATGCAAATGGAGATTTTATGTGTCTCAGTATTGCCTGCTTCTTTGAATATTTGACAAATACCACAAATGTACAGAAGAAATGTACTTTGTGAATCTGTAATTTCAGAGTTATTGACATGTTGTCCACAAAGAATTGCCTTCTAGCTCCATAGTCTGTGAGTTTCAGCGAGTCCTTGGAAAAAGTCAGAATTTCGGTCTCTACCAGAAGCATCACTTGTGGGCTTCTGTCAGTAAAATGAACATCATTCGATTTTTGCAATTAAGTAAAAATCCTTTAACATTGAAAATGTCATAGGATGGGGCCGGCCGAGTGGCTCAGTTGGTTAAGAGCTCGCTCAAGAGTTGGAGCTCTGAGCAACAGCGGTTCAAGTCCAGCCCGAGCTGAGCTGCCAACAGGTAGCAGGATGGCTCAGCTAAAAAAAAAGGAAAATGTCATAGGATGTTTTGTGCTCTGTGAAAATAATCATGTGAGCCAAATAGTAATTGCAGCTTGAAGGGGTAAGAGCTGCCTCCCAACTCTTTCAAGCAATCTAGAATTTTGATGTAGCACTTCATATTCAGTAGAGTCTTTTGGTATTCTGCCCCTTTGGAACCACAGAGAACGGATGTAGAGCCATGGTTCTCCTGTTTTTCCTCTCTCTGTAGGCACTGAATGCGGAGGAGGCCCGCCTTCTTCATGTCAAGGAGCTCCTGCAGATTGATGAGAGGAAGCGGCCTTACAATAGCCTATATGAAGCTCGGGAACCCACCGAGGAGGAGATGGAGGCCTACAGAATGAAACGTCAGAGGCCAGATGACCCCATGGCCTCTTTCCTTGGACAGTAATAACTAGTCACAAACGGTCACCCAAGACAAACACAGCTGACATGATATCCTTTTCAGCTTCTTGCTGATTGTAGGTGGAAAAATCAGTGTCTGCGAGCAGACTTTAATAAAGCTTCCAGAAGTCTCAGAGTAAATTCATTCCTTTCTACACTGAAGAAACAGAAGAAAAAGAGGAGGCACATTAAGTGCAGATTAAGGTTTTATTTCCAACTTTATATTCGTGATATGGAAAAAGAGGCCGCAGCTTGCTTGTGCATTCTCATTCTCTCCCTCCCTCCATCCCTCCCTCCTCCCCTCCTTTCCTCCCTCCTTCCCTCCCCCTCATCTTCCACTCAACAATTAAATCTCAAACTACAGTTCTTCAATTTCTATGGCCCTTTATCTAGTGTTTGCACATATTTTAAAGGGAGATTAACTACTCTTTCTCAAAACCACGGCTTCATTTTTTTCTAATTACCAGTAACTATAGCTATTTTATAGTCATTTGTTTTTGCCTTCTAAGGTTTTCCTGGTCTGCAGCTAAAAATATTCAATCTGAAAGGAAATTTGTAGAACACATGAATAACTTTACCTTGTGTGGTAATAATTCTGTTTTTCACTTGTGTATAAAATTTTGATTTTTAAAACATTTCCTTATATCTTACACCCAAAACTTTGTTAGCCTTTGAATGGAAAAATAACTATTGTGTCATTCATGAATCAGTGTTTACCAATCAGTACTAGGTCTTTTACCATTCTGAACATGAGCCTTTAGACACAAATCCTTTATCGTAGAGGATGTGGTTTGTGATATTATTTTTTGTTTAAATTGTGATTGCCTTTGTGTAACAATCACGAATATTAAATTTGATTTTAAAAGCTTGTAGAATATCCCTTGTACCTAATCTTTGTAACCAGCAGGTGTCACTTTGTATAATGTGCAAAAAGCAAAACCTGAAGTTGACAGTTTCTTCAAAGAATTATGAGGATAGCTTGTAGGGCTACTGGTAACTGAGACTGCCATGCTCCTCAGGCCTCTTCTAAGAACATTGTGAAAATAACACTGGCAGTGAGAGCAGGATCCATGTAAACAACCAGTTCAAAGCTCAGACATGAGTGTATTGACTGTTAACAGCTCCCTGGACTTGCTGAGCTACCAAAAACCGCTGGAATACTGCATTAAGTTAGCATCTCAGAAATAGTTCTGGTGGGAGAGTAATTGAATCAAATTGTCAAGTACTATGGGTTTACATGGTATCTAGATTCAGACTGGTATGAAATTAAAACAGCAATGCAAATAGATCTCATTCTTACCCACTTGAATGTCAAAAGTTTGTTTTCATATTCCTACTTTCACATAGGATGATTCAACATAACGTCTTAGATTGTTTGTTTTGTATCGTATTTATCTTTTGTTAATAAAGGTATATAATTGAAAATACTTAACTATGAATGGTTTGTAGCATTCAAATATTTGGCAGAAAAGGGATCTTGGGTTAGCTTCTGTGAGTTTGAATCAGAAGTTTTCAAGGTCCTTTTAACTCAAAAAAATGTGTCACCTATCCTTTCTGGGCCTCTGCTCCCTCTTCTGTGAAACCTAATTTACTCTGATTTTAGGAAGAATTCTGTAATATCTGAAATCCTGTCTTATTTCTGTTTCAATTTGGAAGAAAGGTAGTACCCAGAACATTACTCAAGACAATGTGCTTTGATTTTATTATCAATAATAGCTGCCTTTTGAGTGCTGGAACTATGTGCTGTAATTTTCATATATTACCCCCTCAAAAGAACTGCATGTGGTGAATGATGGATGATATCCCTATTTTATAATAAGCATGTGGGCATAATGAGCACAGGTACTTTGCTCAAGGCCTAACGGTTAAAAGTGTTGGGGCCAGGACACAAAGCTAAGTATCTCTACTCTAAAGCCTACTCCTTTCTCTAGCATTTAAGGTTCCTGGGCCAGGAAGGCTGGTCTTTTGCAATTTCTTCAATTGACAAACTTCAGTAGGCCCTCAATCTTTACCAAGTTCACCCTCAATACCTGAAAATGATGCACCTGTCTCGTTCTTGAACACTTCCTCCTCCCCCCAGTCTTATGGGATGATTCTGACGAGATAAACTATTCAAAAATGAATAACATAGCATTTCCTTAAGTGTCTATTCTGGAAGAAAATACCCCACCAAATAGGAAAGAGGCTTATATTTGGGCTTTTTTCAACAATATTTTCTAGTGTCTCCTTTGGGGTTTATCTCTAAAATCTGTCTAATATGGGTTTATTACTTTAAGATCCTGTTCTTAAAATTTTTTAAATAAAAATCTTTTCTCTAAGATGGATGATGCTTTAGATGGATGATGAGTCTCAGGAAATTCATCCACATGCTCTAATTTATGGATGGGGGGCCACCTAAACCATTTGCCTGCATGTTTAATTTGCAAGTGCAATCACCTTCCATTTCCTCGTTGATTCCACCTAGAAAACAGTAAATTATTGGAGCTTTACAATCTCCAAGCTCAAAGTCTGACATATTTTATTTCCAGTGCTTTTAAGAACTATGTCGACTTTACAGTGCTTTCCATTCCTTAGATTCTATTTTTCCGGCATTCTTTCTGGCGGAGACAATAAAAAAAAATGTCCAGCTCCACGTACACAATCTAAAAATGAAAAATTGGAGAGGACCAGCACGCATGCTCGTTTCTCAAGGCAGCCGGGCCCTCAGCCGGTAGCTACTGCGCCTGCGTGCGGGAAGATGCCTCGCCCAGTCTGCGGGCGGGAAGACACCGGGAGAACCCGGATGGAAACCCGGCGTGGTTGGGGTGGAGGTGGCTGCGGGCGCTTCTGTGTCACCACTCTCCGCAGGTTCCTGCTCCGGGGCCGCATTTGAGTAACCACAGCCTAGACGGGTTCCGGCGCCCAAAGACTAAGCCCCAGCCTGAGCGGAGAGTGAACGGGAGCCTGAAACGGGCGCCTAAAAGAAGCCCGAGCATCCTTTGGGCCTGCGCCTTTGGCTCGGAGACGGGCGGCTGGAGACCCAGCGGAGTCTTGCTTTCCTCGCCGCCGGCACCCTTTGCTCGCCCGGGCCGCCTCCTAAACGTCCTTTAATAATACACCAACAGGGCCTTCCTACCAGTTACAAGCTGCGTGTTCTTTACGTGCATGCTCATAATTAAACCTCCCAACAACCCTATAAGGTAGGTACTATTGTCATCCCCATTTGAGGAATTGAGGCTTGGAAAGGTCCCAGCCTGTAAGTGACAAAGCCAGGATCGCCCGCCAGGCTTTTGCCTCTGGAGCATTTACTCATCCACTGCATTCCCGTCCCTTTCTCTTGGCTGTTACTTTTAACTGTAAAAATGTAATGATTAAATCCTCTGCTTCTCCAGACACCTGCACCTGCCGTGGACTGGCATAAACTGTGGCTACATAGAAGTTGAATTGTGTTTGGTTTGGAGTTTTAGGTTTTGCAACTGCAGTTTGGTGTTGTCACTGCTAAAATATGTTAGCATTCCCCAAATAGTTCTGTTATGTCAGTGGTCACCTGTAACTGTTTTTTTTCCTCTCAATCATGATACTTTTTCATATATGCCCTTATAAATTTGCAAAAAAACATTTTACTTTGTTAGATCTTTTATTCTCCATCTTAAGATAGCTCTCAAAAAATTATTCTAAAAATTAATAATGATATCAATCTTAAGGTAATGCTTTTTGTCGGCTCATTTTACTGTTTATTGTGGAAAATGTCCAGCATACAGAAGTAGAATGGTGTAATGATGTGTACCCATCATTCAGCTTCAACAGGTAACATCTCAAGGCCAATTTTATTTCTTCTGTCTCCACCCCACTATGTGTGTGTGTGCGGGTGTGCTGAAGTACAGTATTTCAAAGGAAATCCCAACATTTTACCATTTCACTTGTAAATAGTTAAGTCTGTATTTCTAATAGGTGACCTAAAAAATACAACCATACCATTATCACACCGTTTAAATTAACAGTGATTTTTTTTACTGAGATGATTCTTTTTTAATGTTTATATATTTTCGAATATTGTGATTCCTAAATACCACAAAGGAGAAAGTGAAAATTGCGAGGCTCTAAAACCCAAGAAAACCTCTTGGTAGATAAGTTCGTCTTTGAAGACCTTGAAAATTTTTGCTACCTATTCTTCCTCTGAGGGAGATAGAGAAGGGTACTATAAATGAATTTTTCTGAAAATTCTTTGGTTGAAAACAAATAAATCTTCAATCAAAATATATTTAAGTAGCATAGTCGGGGTGGCTAGGAATAGACTCTTCGCTGGTCCTGTAATTTCTAATGAGACTGAAGGAAAAAGCTCTGCCCCTCGAAAATATACATGGTAAATACACATAACAGAATACCGAAAGATAAGCGTTTTTATGTTGATGTCATAATTTTATTGTTATCGATTAGAAGAGGTTCCAAACACAATTGGCGCTCTAGTCTCATCATTTAACGAAAGAAGTCTTAAGCTCAACTTTTAAAGTTGAAATCATCTTTCTTGATTAGCAGACATCTTCCAATTTTTACCTGGCTCATAACAACCATATGGCAGGTCAACTTAACTAGTTACATTAGAAGTACATTTTACAGTTTGTTGATCATGGCAGAGCCACTAGAAATCTAGTGCTTTAGGTAAATATTCTTGACTTATTGTGATTTTTTTTTTAAATGGTCAAAGTGGGCGTTTGGATTTTAATGTGTCCCTGTTATTTCAACCCCATTCTGTGTCATAGAACTTTGGAAACTTTGGAGATCGCTTTATCTGGGAGATAGAATTGTTTTCTCAGGTATATTTGAGCCTACCTTAGAATTATACCTTTGTTTATTGCTAAGGAGGAAGAAAGTGAGAAAAGGCATAGCTTTCTTTTGAGCCCCCTTAACTTTCCTAGGAGATTGTCATCACTTCAGAGAACTTAAATGCCTATTAAAGCATCTAGACTATTAGCAACCTAAAATATCTGCAAGCTAGGAATTGGCCTGAAGGATATGTTGTCATTCCTCTCAGTCTGACTACCTACTATGATGTGTATCAGAATCACCTGGACAACTTTATTTTTTATTCTTTTGTCCTACTGGTGATAAATTATTAGTTCTACAGTAGTACGGGGACATGTATACTTTCAAAGGAGTACCCAGTGATTGTGATGGGCATCTCGTGTTAAAGATTACTGTTCTAGTTACTAGTCATAAGAATTATCTAAAATGCTTATTTAGAATACAGATTCTGGGCCCCTGCTCCAGAGCTAGGAAATCAGAATCTTTGGGGGATAGGGCCCAGGAATATGCATTTTAGCAAGAAACTTAGATGATGCCTCCATTTACTAAACTAGAAAACCATTGCCTTCTACATCCTGTCCTTGGGGTAAGCCAAATCTTAGGAATGCTGCTTAATTTTCCTTTTGTTGTTTTGGCTTCTTCCTTAATTGCTTTTACTGAGGGGTAGTTATATGAAAAAGCAACATGAAATTTCTGTTAATTACGGTGTCTTCTATGAGAGAAAATTTTCTGAAGTCTCGGTAACAAGAATAGTTGTGTTTCTCCCGAGCAACTTATTTTGCTTTTCTATGTGGACAGTATGACTCATAGAATGATAGTGTGTTACACTTTAGCAGCAGGAAGCTCTGAGCCAAATTTGTATCCTACATCTGTATCAAGAGTGACTTAGTCAAATCTGTTTGAAATTCTCTGCTTAAGTTGGAGTCAAAGTCACTCAAGGATCAAATGGTTTTACAAAACTATTTAATTCTTAACTATTAAAATGAACTAGCCGCCCTGTCAAAATATCTGCCCATCTATAGAGTATTGAGTGAAGTGTTCCTTTCTCTGTTCAGTGCTTCATAACAACAGGTGTGCATACATTATT